GTGGGCCTGGGGGTGCGGGGGCAGGCCGAGGAGGTCGATGGGGGGAAAGGAGGACATATGGAATACTTTCAATAATAAAGAATTTAAAAATAAATAAAATGAAGTAAAAATGGCCACACACCGGGGTCCCCTGAGCCCCAGCCCCTCAGCCCACAGCCCCTCGGGGAATGGCCGCGGCCGAGACTCACTGCTTGAGGGACGGCTGGCCCTGCGCCCGCGTGCCCCTTTGAAATGTGGAGCATTTAAATTCACGCCCCACGCTGTGCAGACACAGACCACGCATGTGTACGACTTCCCGGCGTGTGAGAGCCTCGTACTGGCTCACAAGGTGTTGTTCCTGCGCGTGTGGGGCACACAGAGGTTAAGGGGCCACGTGACTGCCTTGCAAGTTAGGTCCTGTCCCCCGGAAACAGCCACTGGCCGGGCCTGTCCTTGTCGCCAGGTCTGTCCTGGTTGCTTTTATAACCAGGAAGGGAGGTGTTTGCACGGGAAGGACAAATGGAGACCCCACCAAGCTCATCCCTGTTCTCTCAGCGCCACCTACAGGTGGCAGGGGTCACAGCACCCACCGAATGTGCAGCACAGCCTGGCCCTAGGGGAGCTGTGGACTCGGGTGACTGTGACATGTCAGGCAGGTTCATCACCTGGCGGGGGGGGGGGGGGGGGGGGCCGTGTTTATGCGGAAAAGCCATGCACGGGGGGTACGGGGGGGGCAGGAGGTATCTGGGAAATCTCTACCTTCCTCTCAACTTTGCCCTTAAACTGCTCAAAAAACATATCTGCTTTTTTAAAAATCACATGACTTGGAGAAATGCAAAGCCCTTTCATTCCTTCCCGTGAGCCACAGCTGCCACACAGATGACCGCTTCCACGGAAACACAGGGCTGTGGTTCAGCTCCGTGGTCAGATTACACACCCGAGCCTCCGCTCCCAGGCCGGGCGGGAGCCCCTCCCCTCCCCTGGGCAGAGAGCAAGCAGCCGGCCCGCGCCCAAGCCTGCGCCTCGGATGTGCAAGTCTTCCCGGAGGGGCTCGCTGACCCCCTCCCCCGCCCTGTCCCAGCTGGCTGGGTGTTCAGGGACAGACTTAGTTTCAGGGTTTCCTTATTCCCCTCGGAAAACAGAGCACAGTATCACAGTGTGAATTGGCCTCGACGACCTAGGAAATACCCTAAACCAGCACCTTCCAGCCGGGGGCCGCCAGGATGTTCAGAACATGCGATGCCTGACTAGTCAGGGCACTGACCTCTTTCCCTCAGATTATCAAATAAAAAATAAATAAATGAAAAATAAATGACAGCAGCCGGCACAACAATAGCCGTCCGGTGTGAGTGAATCAAAATTACACCTATTTTTTTTTTTTTGTCAGATAGACAAAAAACGAGCTTTTTGGTGTGACAGGAGTTTAGACCGTAGTTGACGCGCACATGAGAGGGAAAGGCGGAAAAGCAGTGTTTTGAACCCCCCACACTCTCGGCTTTATGGCCACGTGTTTAATATAAAACTAAAATACTGAAATGGGGTTTTTATGCCAGAGGAATTTCAGCCTCTTTACAAAAGAAAAGGAAGAAAGCGGTGAAAGAAAGGCTATGCTGAGAGAAAGGATATCCGTTTTCTAAAATCCCACGGAGACCAGAATCAGCCGAGGTTTAACTCTCCCTCCGTGGCCACCGCAGCGATCACCCTCACGCCTGTTTTCTTTCTCTTTCAAGTCCCCCGAGTCTGATTAAACAGCCCTTAGAAAGGACACAGCCTTCCCTTCCGGACGAGACGGCGGTGTGGGTGTACACAGGACTCGCCTCCCCCACAACCACATCAGAACACCGCTCAGCCACAGACCCAGAGCCCCTGAGCCCTGGCTGAGCGGAGGCCTACCTCGAAGGATGAGAGGAAGGAGCCAGCCCTGGCTGGTTCGCTCAGCGGTCAGAAGAGTCTTGGGTTTGATTCCCAGACACGGGCACGTACCTGGGCTGCAGTTCCTCAGCCCCGGTTGGGCCGTGTGTGGGAGGCAATCAATCAATGTGTCTCACGTGGATGTTTCTCTCCCACTCTCTCTAGAAGTCAATGGGGGAATACCCTCAGGTGAGGATTACAAAAAAAAAAAGAAGAAAAAAGAAGCCACCTGGAGACTGGCAGGAGGGCGGAGAGGAGGAACGGGCTGGTCCCACACCCACATGTAAAAATCGGGAGGGGTCTCTAGGCTGCGGAGGGGAGGTCCCCCCCAAAGGACGAGGGTCCCAGCCCCACGCCAGTCCTCCCAGCCCAGACTGCTGGAATCCCATATTCATCTTAAAGGGCAGGCACATGGACTTACTCGGCGTCACTCCCTCTGAGCTCCAGCATTGGGACAGCAGCTCAAAAGGCACCAGGGACACATGGGGAGGAGCTGAATTATCTGGAATCAGGGTGAGGGCTGGGGGAGTTTTCTCTCTGACAGAAGTACGGCAGCGCCGTGTTCCTCTGCTGAGCCCGCCCCACTCCCAGAGCTGACAGGTGGCACCACATCTGAGTTGCCATCAACCTGCTCACACTGTTTGCCCCACCCTAGTGATTCCCTGAGACCCTGTCCCACCCACTTGCAGGCCCACCCAAGCTTATCCATACAAATGGCCTATCTTGGCTCATGCTTCAGATTTTCCTAAAATCTCTCAAATAACCAGCATCTGGCCTCAGTGTGCCCTGTGCTTCTGGCTAAGTGGCCCCAGGCCTGGCACTAGCAGCAGCGGCCTTGGTTTGCACCTTGGTCTCACCTGGGCACCTCCAAGTCCAGCACAAGTAGCAGCCATCTGCAGATCACTCTGTAGCTCATGCCGGGTGTCCCTGGGTAGAACAGGTGGTGACTGAACTTGGTCCGTGCCTCCTGGGAAGCCCCAGAGCCATCAAACCCATTGGACAGCTTCAGGTCACATAGAGGCACCACCCAACCACCTCCACCAGAGACACACCTGAGGGGCAGACTCAGCAAACACCAGAGCCCTGCTAAGTCCTGCTCTGTGGGGTGGGCCTCCACAGTGGTCAAAGGTCAGTGGTCACAGCCAGTCCCTGCATCTGATTGGCCTTGGGGCAAATCCCTCCCATTGCCGAGCCAACAGTAATCGAGTCTCAGCTACAACAGGAGGGTGGCACAGCCCAGCTGGGGTGCCCAGCTGGGGTGATCAGGGAGGCTATGCCACTGGGCCCAACAGGGCATGTACTACACAAGGCCACTCTACCAAGCCCGGGAGACACAGCAGCTCCACCCAGAAACAACACAGGTAGGTGCCAAGATGAGGAGACAAAGAAACATGTCCCAAATGAAAGAAGAAGAGAAAACTCCAGAAAAAAAGCTAAACAAAATGGAGACAAGCAATCTACCAGATGCAGAGTTCAAAACACTGGTTATAAGGATGCTCAGTGAACTTAGAACATCAACGGCATAAAAAAGGATCAGTCCTAAAGGAAGCATGTACTAATCAAGAAGGAGAAGAGTTTACCAGGAACCAACAGTAGAGTAGATGAAGCCAAGTGATTTGGAATAAAAGGAAGCAAAAAGCACCCAATCAGAACAGCAAAAAGATAAAAGAATCCAAAGAAGTGAAGTTAGTTGAAGGAGCCTCGAGGACAGCTTCAAGCGTACCCAATACTCACACTCTGGGGGTGCCAGGAGAAGAGAGGGAGCAAGATGTTGAAAACCTAATGGAAGAAATAATGACAGAAAACTTCCTTAACTTGGTGAAGGAAATAGACATAAAAATCCAGGAATTTCAGAGAGACCCTAACAAGATGAACCCAAAGAGGTCCATGCCAAGACACATCATAATTAAAATGCCAAGGGCTAAAGACAAAGAGAGAATCTTCAAAGCAGCAAGAGAAAAGCAGTTAGTTACCCACAAGGGAGCGCCCGTACGACTGTCAGCTGATTTCTCAAAAGAAACCATGCAGGTCAGAGGGGAGTGGCAAGAAATATTCAAAGTGATGAAAAGCAAAAACCTACAACCAAGATTACTCTACCCAGCAAAGCTATCATTCAGAATTGAAGGTCAGATAAAGAGCTTCACAGATAAGAAAAAGCTAAAGGAGTTCATCACCACCAAACCAGTATTATATGAAATGCTGAAGGGTGTTCTTTAAGAAGAAAAAGGGGAAAAAAAACATTAAAAATATGAACAATAAAATGGCAATAAGTACATGTTAACAATTGAATCTAAAAAAACAAAATAAAGGAGCAAGCAGAACATTTTGATGGTTAGCAGATGGGAGGGAAGTTGGGGGATGGATGAAAAGGTGAAGGGATTGAGAAGTACAAATTGGTTGTTACAGAATAGTCATGGGAATATGAAGTGTAGGACAGGGCATATAGTAATAATCCTATATAATAAAAGCGTAATATGCAAATTTTCCCCTTGACCGGGAGTTTGACCAGAGGGCGGGGCCAGCCGGCAACCGCCTGCGGCCCCTGTCCCCAGCTGACCCAGCCTGATCAGCCCCGATGTGGGTGGGCCTGCCGGACCCCACCTGTGCACAAATTCATGCACCGGGCCTCTAGTATTCTAATAGTTATGTACAGGTTCAGAGGGTACAGATTTATCAGGATGATCACTTAGTAAGCTACGTCATGTCCAATCGCTGGGGTGCACACCTGAAACTAATATAATATTGTATATCAACTGTAATGGAAAAATAAAAATGATTTTTGTAAAGATAAGAATGTGGCCATCTGTGCATTTCACGTTCCTCACAGAGACCTTTGAATCCGCAATGCGAGAACCGCTGAGTGTTTCTCCGCCTGCACAGGTGCCCCCTTCCTAGGGACTGTCCTTCTGCGGGTGCCCCTCCGGCCAGGCCCCATCACCTTGTCCCCCGCCCTGAGGGGTCAGGCTCTGGAGGGACCTCCCCCAGGCTCTCAGATTGCAGGCTCCCTCCCGGCTGCAACCTTGCCCGATCATCATAAAGAACGGGCGAGGAAGTGGAGATAGTTAGGTACGACCAGGTGCCACAGAACCACAACAAGTCGCCTCGTAAAGTTTTATTAGTTGGAAGCAAGAGAAAACACAGTGGCCGGTAGCACAGCATAAAGGGCTCCAGCCAGGAGCCGGGGCTGCTGGGTCTTGTCGGCACTGGGAGTCCACCTGGGCGTGGACGGGACGCCGCACAGAGCCCTTGGCTTCCCGCCTCGAGGGCCCTAGACTATACTGAACAAATGCCGAAGCTAAACACGCGGAGCGCGGGCTCGCTCTCGGGCCACGCGTGGGGACACTCAGCTGGCGACACGCATTGGGCACGGCACACGGCACCCCGACTGCAGGCGCGGCCTCACTGGGCCGGGCCGGAGGCGGAGGCGGGGATGAGCTTGGGCGTGGCCTGCTGGGGCGGCTGCACCTCTGGGATCATCTCCCCGTGCTGGTACACGCTGACCGTGACGTCGATCTTCTCGCCCCCGTACTTGTTCTTGACGTTGATGCTGTACTTGCCCGAGTCCTCGGAGGTCACGCCCTTGATGCTCATGCTGACGTACTTGGCCTGCTCCACCTTCACCGTGAAGTGCTCGTTGAGCTCGATGTCCTTGTCGTTCTTGAACCACACCACCTCGGGGTCGGGGTTTCCGAACACCGTGCAGGTCAGGTTCAAGGTCTGCGGGAGCGGGGGGCGGGCAGGGAGGGCAGAGGTAGGAAGACAAAGGTCAGATTCCCTCAGAATGGCACTGACCCTCATCATGGTCCTTTACATCATTCATGGAGTCAACATGCTCTTTACACACGTCAGCGCCACACCAGACCCCAGGGTCCCCAAACAGCAGGAGGCAGACAAGGCCAGTTCCATGCAGTAGCTCCTGAGAAAACCCGTGGTAATTCCTTCTATTCACCATCAGCTGTGACCCAGGGCCTAAGCCCGCGATGGGGAACCTTTGTCCTGCCGAGAGCCATCTGGACATTTATAACATCATTCGCGGCCAAACAAAATTACCCACTGACACATGAGCCTTCTGTGTTTGGTCAAACATTTCATTAACTCGTCCCTAAGGCCTCGGCAGGGCCAGATCAAATGATTTCGAGAGCCTTCTATGGCCCGCGGGCTGGACGTTCCCCACCCCTGGCCTAAACCGGCTAAAGAATTTGAAAGTAATCAGATAGATCCACGTTTCACAGATGTTTCAGCTTTTTTCTCAACTTCCTTTATATTCAGACCCATGGACCCTCTGGCAAATCCAGAGAATGCATTGACTTATAGCAAGTCGGACGCAGCAACCATGTGGACACTCAGCTAAACCCGCCGGAGCCTGGTAACGCCAAACCGCTGTGAGTTTCCCAGCGACGGCTCCGCCCTGAGCCCAGGCTGCTCGGCCTCACGCCCAGCTCTCTGCAGCGGCCCAGGAGAAGGGCCACCACCTTTGTGTTGGGCGAATAAAATCCTCTCCCTCTGTGTCCCAAGACCCTGAGCTAGAGCTGAGGCACCAGAGGGGTGCAGGCTGGACGTCAGCAATTCCGCCAACAGGTGACCCATTAAAACTCGGTAAACAGCGCCCAGTCCACGTTCCAAGGGCCTTGGAGCCTGGAGAGGGTGTCACACTTGCAGAGGGCGGCTCCCACCTCTACACAAGGCAGGTGCCTCCTGTGGGCGTGGGTGTGGCCTGCCCAACCTTGGTCCCCCTCCCGCCCCAGCCCCAGCCTAGGACCAGGGCTCAGACCCCGGTGGACACCAGGCACAGGACCAGGGGTGGCTTGTCAGCTCAGATATTAGCACAAGGGTTACCAGAGGCAGCGGGCCAAGCAGGAGGGGGTGGGGAGCCCAGCCCCCCGGAGGCTGAGTGACAGGCACCCGTTCCCAGCTCCGTGTGGCCCTTTGCGAGGCTGCATGCACGGCTGAGCCCGTGCGTCCCGGGGTCCTGCCGTCCGTCCTTACCTTGCCTTCCATTATGGTCACCACGTCAGGTAAACCACCGATCACCTTGCCACGATCTGCAATGGAGGGGACTCGGCTGAGAAAACCACCAGCAGGGTGTCCTCCTCCCTCCCCCGGCCCCTGCTGAGCACCGGCTGCTATACAGGTGCACACAGCGCTCCGGGGAGGACGGCACTGAGGGGAGGCT